TCGAGTACAACCTGCATCAGTACAATGAAAAAGCGTAAGATTTCTCAAGAAAACATCTATACGACCATAATGAAAACGCGTAAAAAAAAGAAAAGTTTTCAAAAAGCATCATTAAAACCATTAACGCGAATAAACAAAATTAATAAAAGTTTTTAATTTTTCATAAACATATACGTATTATTATGTTTTGCGTGAAGTACATAATTAAAGAAATATATACAATTGACCGTGTGCTAAATCAAACTTCAAAAATTTTCCGGAGCGCAACCTGGTACACATTTTCGGGTTGCATCTGATTAGCCAGCCCACAAAACATCGTTAAATAAATAAATGCATCAAAAAGAGCATTTACACACAGATGGCATATTCATTATAATCACGATCAAACATCACATCATTAGTAAGCATATCGTTTCTAAATAAGGTAAAACTGAGGTTTATAGAGTGCGTGCACCGTACGTACACGTATGTACGTACGTACGTACATATCTGATTGTACGTTATCTTTTACGTATCTAATGTTTATTTTTATATGCATATTGCATATTACAGATCATGATAAATTAGAACGCTTACATTTGCATTTTTGTGTCAGCGATAGGTCGCATACATTTGCATTTTGTGCAGCTAACGATAGGTCGCTTACATTTGCATTTTGTGTCAGCTAGCGATAGGTATAGATTGTTTAATGCTTATAATCAACCAGTCCCAGTTGCATACTTACGTAAATACACCGTAGGTAGTACTAAGAATTCTGCTTTTGCATCGTAAACGAGTAGATGAGATGGAATGAGATTAAAAGGAATATTCTTTGTTTACTTACGTAGGAAATACATATACGTACGTACGTACGTACGTACAATATCGGTATTCACACGTCACACGTACGTACGTACGTACGTACGTATGACATCAAGTTTACATTTTTCAATTTATTACATAAATACTATTATTAAATTTTTTTTTCTTTTTGCTTATTACAAATATACTTTTATACATATATATAATCTATACATAATGATACGTAACTCATATTTACTGATTTGACCAAAGAGTAAAATGTAAATTACAAAATTTTTTTTGATATGCTTAATATGATGAGAACAGACTGTACAAGAAATTATCAAAATTTCCAAAGATGTGAAGAGAATCATAATTTAATAATCAGTTTTTATAACAAGACCAGATCTTGGAATTGTTATTTTTCTAACAAGAGGTGATGTAGGTCGTCTCTTTAACCATTCTTGTTTATCTGTAATATCTGAATATATTGATATAGTAGAAGAATCTCTTTGTAATCTTAAGCTTGAATGACTTCTCGACGTATGTCTACTAACATTAAAACTTCCTTTATTATAAGTACCAAGATCCTCTTCTGATCTTGCCCATGAGGCTTTGGCCAATGCTACCTCTTCAGGACTTATTATTACTGGATTTGACATGTCTTGAGAAGCCGATGAATTTACGGCAACTAATTCACTACCCCTACTATCATTCCAACTAGTTTGATCACTATGATCATTATCATTATCAAGTTGTTTATTATTTAAATCATCATCATCATCATCCAATACTTCTTCAGCAATGTATCCCATTGAACTATCGTGACTTATTTGATGGCATAAGGAAAAATGAGGAGGTTGAAGAGTATTATTCGATACCATTTCATCTAAATAAACTTGTAAATTCCGACTAAGACTAGGACTTAAACAATAACTATTTCTTGGTGTCAAAGAACTTGGATATATTGCTACACCAGTTTCTTCTGGCGGAACATTTAAATCAGAAAGTGTTGATATTGAATTTTTAGCACTATTATTATATTTTGATGATTTAGATATAGATTTTAAACTGTTTATTGATTGTAGTGAATCATGTTTAATTTCCTCTGCTTGAATATTTTGAGCTTGAATATTTTGAGCTTGAATAGTTTGAAATTGAATAGTTTGAAATTGAATATTTTGAGCTTGAACTTCATTATTATAATTCGGATTTACAACCGGTTTTTTTTCGGTGATTTTATCCAATTTATCCAATTTATCCGTTGAAGAGAATGAAGACTGAGTATGCTGTAAATTTATTACAGAGTTACGAGCATCACCCGTTGTTGAAGTCTCTTCATCATAATTACAAATTGATATTGACCGTCCTTCATTTTCCCTTCTACTACTACTATTAAAATTGAACATCATTTGACTAATTCGAAAGCTATTTCTAATCGATAATCTAGTTGGTGATGATGTATCACTAATTGATGAACTTTGAAATCCGGGCATTGGCCTTAAACAACTAAAAAAAAAAATATATATATTAAAATTTTAATTTACAAGAAATTAAGAGTGTTTCTACGAAAAATTTTGAAATTTCTTACTTGTATAGAAAGATACATTGAATTATGTTTAAGAAAACTGGTATAGTACAATCCCAAGCTATCATATACCCAATATTAACTTCGCGGCTAAATGATGTCATATTCTTGTGAATCACACAATATGATAAGATTGTGATGATATACAACATCATTGCTACAACCAAAACAAATAATGCAAGGCATAACTAATAAAATAAAATATATTAAAAATTAAAATCTTAAAAATCTATCTCATTGCATAATCTCATGAAATATAATACATACATTTCTGGCTGCTCTCTGTAAAGTTGAAACGTTCAATTCAATATTCGATCTTCCACTACTTTCTTTTTTTCTCAAGTCGACAATGCGATTCCGTATTATAAGAATTAATCTACACCAAAAATATATTACAGAGCCTAAGAAAGTTAAGGCCCATATGACCAAAATTATATAATGAACTTGTACAAATAATAATGCCAAAGAATAGTCTACATCTGCCCAATAACCAGTTAGACAAGCAAATGGAAATAATGTTGCAAAAGGTGCAATCAATATAAAAATGCCAATTGAATCAATAATATGTTTATTTGATTTTTGGCTTCGTGTTACTCCATCTGGAGGTCTCAATCTAAATCTGAGAGCTGGTATAGAATATACTAAAAGATAAATCGTAAAACGCGTATTAACGTTAGTTTATGAAACTCTGTACCTATTCAAAATTTATGTAATATCCCCTTTTTGCAGCGAATTTTAAATATTTCATACGTATACGTATTAGGTATTATTAGTATTATTTAATATTATTAGTATTGCTGCATCATGGATATTACCTAAAATTAAGCAGTTCCTTTGATGGAAAAACTTACTTATACTTATGGGGTATATTAATGCCATTCCGATACTTAATTCTCGTGATATATCTTGTCCGACTAAATATAGAGATTTAGAAAGTTGTTAATATCGTTATAACAAAGGGATTCAAAACAAATATGTAAAATTTATCAAAAGTTTTAACTTACTTTCTGCAACCACAGAATTCGGATATCTAAAAAAAAATTTTTTTTCTTTTAGAAAATGAATAAAGTAATATATTAAAATCATAAATGTTAAAAATTACGTACGACTCTGATAAAACCATTGATATATGCATTACATTAACTAAAAAAAAAAAAAAAGAATAATAATGTTTTTAGTGGTGGCGCAGTAATTACGATCATTATCGTATGTTCATTAATCGTATGTATTCCTTTGCGGTCAAAGTTTGATAAAGACCAAAAAATATATATATAATAACAATAACAAATAAAATTATAATATAATAAACAACTTACGTATATTAAATACAATGGTTGTAAGGTGAAATATTCCTTGTGGCCTTAGCCTCAAGATACTCTTCTCTCGAGCGTTGTTTGGTAAAAAAAAAGTTTGTCCTTTACAAACCATTCGATGATATATAAATCCAAGTGAAATCATGATGATAAAGATTGAATAAGGAATCAATAATCTATGTACCAATAAAAGTATATCCTCATCTTCGCAACCTCTATAATTTATTCTAAAATCACAAATACATCGTGTCGTTATATTATTTGAATCATTTGAAAGTTTATTTTCACAAGTAAGTGCAAAGTTGTTGTTTAAATGAACCATATTATTCTTTTTAAAAAGTTGTACATATGTAACGAATGAATATAAGATTATACGAGAAATATAATTAATAATGAATATATGAGAAAATATGTCAAATATTATTATAAGAAATATTAATAATATTAATTAGATACTTTTTCATTAATGAGTATTTCTATTAATGAGTATTATTTCATTGGACAAGATGTATGTTCTCTTTTTTTTACCGAAAAAAAAAAAGATTTTCGAAAAATCTTAATATTTTACATACACTTGATAATAAACATTAATGTCGTAATAAGAAAAATATGTACAAATATTAGGAAAGAAAGAGGGAAAATAGTTCAGATTACGAAAAATAAGGAGTGTAGAAAGAACGCATCAAATGAGGTAAAGAAAAGAAGTGTGCTGGTTGCGTGTCCAACTCGAGATGCAGGAATGATTTCAGAAAAAGTTCATATGTATAACTTTATATGAAATTCTTCGTACAACTTTACAATTCATATAGTTTGTATTAGTCAATAACCAGTTTTTGTGTCGTCACTAAAAAGGAACGTAATGCAATCTTTTGTTGTGTTATTGGGGAACTTGTGTGATGCTTTTCGGGTCCTAATTGCGCTGAGTATACTGAGTATCAAAAACAAACAAAATTAATTACGCGGAATACTCAATAATAAATTTTACACTTTTATGTTCTTAAAAAAAAGTAGGGTCACGGATTAACTGTCACGCAAAATAGGGCTGCATCAATTTTTTATCCAAATTACAAAGTTAATTTAGTTACGTTTCACAAATTTTTATTGACCAATAAAATTTACTATTTCTCATCATATTTGTTTTGTTACCACTCTATGGTGACCCTATGGTGACCCTATGGTAACCCTATGGTAACCCTATGGTAACCCTATGGTGATAGGAATTGCCTATTTCCGAATCTGCCTTTAACGGTAACGAGATTCAGGTATGTACCTTCGTATGACTGTCGATTTTGATCAATTATCATGTAAGACTGTGATACGTATCTTAGTACAATGGACAAAATACCCCTCTTCTCACTCAAATGTTTCTTTTTGAATGAAACATTTAAGATTTTGCAGTAACCTTAGACCGCAAGTAAATGCAAGGCCCTTGACTGTTAGGTCTAAAGTATCTTTTTGCCAACAATTACCAACATGTGATTGATTCGATTGATTCTCAGGGAATATATCAGATATACATAAAGAATTCGAATGTTGATTGATTTACGATCTACGTTAGATACATTTGCAGTCAGAGGCTTTCCTAGATTAATCTTAGCACTATTTATTAATCTTCACTAATAAATTTTACCTTCACATGGACACCTATGAGATGATTTATAGTGATCTAGACCAAGTGATTCAAACAATTAGCATCCTTAATTTACTAACTTACATCCTAATCCTGTTTGAAGTTTTATTAATCGATCGCTTAATACTATTTATACCAGAATTAGTAAGATTTAATTATGTGACAAAAAAAAATTTTTTTTATTGACTATATCTTGTGTTCTTGCGTTTCATCATATTTATATTACAGTATTAAAGCGATTTAAACAATGCGTGTTGTTACGTTACACGAAATTATTAAGATTTCTGATTTTTAAACGCAACCTTCAACAAAAAAGTACTGCATACGTAAATATTTTTTTAAAATAAAGTTTCTTGAACACACACATAAGCAATAAGTTACAGTATATAATGCGAAAAGATAAAAGATTGAAAAAAAAAGCTGTATCGGTAAATCTCAATTTTATCCGGTCCGAAATCGATAAACCGGACTTCAAACATGTTACGTACCCCTAACAATAATAGTAAATTTAAAAACTATACAAACCGTCTTGTCGCATCAAAGTATTTAGGAAAAAAATTTGGTTTAGCAGTTATCTTTGTAAATTACAAATCATCATATTGCTTAATAATATATTATAGGATATAACTACGGTTGTGTTACCGCTTCAGTAAATCAGTTTCATATAACTTTCATCACTACATATTACATCATTTATTTCTATCTCCAAAAATTTTTGATGTGAATTATTTACTCAATATTACGCAAATTTGCGCAAACTTGCGCAAAAATTACAATCCTAGACACACAACTTAATAAATTCTCTTGTAATAAATAATAATAAAAAATAAATTACGCGGTATTCTTAGGCTACACAAATTTAATATCTTGGTTTTCATAAATATAAACCTTTTAAACAGGCCCGATCGGTTGGGCGGCCGGCTTTGTTTTTAAAGTTCATATATAAAAATTTTTGTTAAAAATCCACCCGGTTATTATTATAAACACATAAAATTTTTTTTTTTTACGTTTCAAAATTTGACCCGCCCGGTTATGAAAACCAATTAATTTTGCGTGGCCTTAGGTGGTAGCAATATTAAAATTTTTTAAACCTATTTTATACTGTATACTACAAGTATTACGGTTCCGCATGGGCTGATGCATTGGGGTGTGCGATATACTATATAAATCAAAACTATATATGAGTATCGCTAAAAGAAAACCCGAAAATTTAAATATGACTTATATTAAATTTTCGGGTTTTCATATGGTACTAAATAAAAATTTAATATTGAAGATTTTTGGTGAAATAAAGTCAATTGATATGTTCTTGATTGCAAATTTCAAAGACTGAAAATTTAATTAGATGTACAGCCCTTAAAACTGGTTATTATAAATCCAAAATTTGCACACATTAAGATTAAGTTTTCAAAGAAGTCAAATAAGTCTTTCTATTGAAAAAAATATTATTTATTTGAAAATTTTTTAAATGAATGAAGTAGCGATTATACATAAAAAGGACCTGAAAAAAAAAAGGGCTTCCCATAGATAATGTAAAAATAAACTTAATAACTTTATAGATATGGTAACAACAACCCAATTAATATCAAAATATATAGTTTTATTAAAAAGAAAGGTGCGACACAGTTTACAAAATTTAGACTAATTAAAATATATAAGTGATCACACGTAATTTTGATTTACATAATATATCGCACACCCCAATGAAGCATCCAAGAATTGATACCGCATGAACCGAGCTTGGCTCAAAATTTTGGATCCAGTATAATTGAATCCAGTAAAATTATAATGTTATCATTATCCTTATCATTGATGTTAAAATTACAAACTCGAGCCTATCCCAATACATATGGACTTGACCCAGACTTTGAAATATTCAATATAGCCTAGCCTATGTGAAATTAGTGAACTAAAAAAATCTTCACCTGGGTCATCCGACAGGTGAGCCATATGTCACCTGGGTGAAATCTAGATAAAACCTAAAAAGCCCCCCACACAGGTTACCCGACGGGTAAACCATATATCACCTGTGTAAAATTGGATGGGTCAACTCAAAATCTCTAGTTCAAAATTTCATAACAATCTTGCTTGTCTTTTATATTCATTGATTGTTTACCATTCTGAAAATTCTCGATAGTAAACATACACAAATTCATGGGTTACTCGTAGGTCGGTCAATGGGTAACTTGTGGGTTGACCCACCTGGGTGGTGTTACGCCCAAAATTGGGAGTGCAATATCTGTGTATAGCAAATTAGCTTTGGGCAGCATAAACTATGCGGGTGAGTATTTTATTAGAGATGCTATATGAACAAATTATTACACTCTTCTAGGGAATGATACATGATATATACTTATATCTATTATATATTATGAGGTAAGAGAATTAAAGAAGAAAATATATTATTTATAAATATGTAGTAATTCGATTACCAAAATGAGATAATAACTTTGACAAGATTATATAATAATCATATGGCGGATTTTTGGAATTTGTATTAGGGTTAGATTTTTTTTAAAATTTAAGATTAAATAACTCTTAATATAAAAGTTTTTAATAATAATTTTATTATCATTGTGTTTGTCTCTTTAAGACGATTCTAACGAGCCCAAAATTATTCAAATCCAATCACAGGATCACAAGATATTACACTGTCAAATAGTGACGCATCTCATAGATGGGAAGGATTTGTTAAACCAGGTCTAACCAATTCTTCTCACCTATGAGGTGCATTATTATTTGACAGCCCAATATCTTGTGATCCTGTGATTGGATTTGAATAATTTTGTGCTCATTAAAATTGTTTTAAAGAGACAAACACAATGATAATAAAATTATTATTAAGAGTTATTTAATCTTAAAATTTTAAAAAAATTTAATCCTAATATAAATTTCAAAAATCTACTCATATGTAATTGTTATAATACAAATAAAACAACATAAAATAATAAATAGATATATGAAAATTTTTATTTAACATCTTTTGTTTAAAAATAAGCTCTGGCAAATTGTATATATTATTATTAAAACAACAAAAAATTGCAGATAATTTATAATATAATAAAACTTCTTATTTTTATATATCTATATAACTTTTTTTAAGATAATTAAAAAAAAATTTTAAAATTCCTTTGGTTTGGTTTATTTAATTATTTTTTTTATCAATTATTTAGTAGATTA